GTGGTGCGTGCGTATATGTATGTTTACATTAAGTACACACACAACACAAATGAAGTGAAGTATATAATGCCAGCAGAAACTTATGAATTTCTTTTCTCCAACTATTTCTATACAGCATGGATGGCTTCATAACAGTGTACATAAAAGCTCAATATATCATACATAAAATAAATTATGTGTGCATTATTAGCTTTATACAGTATACATGAGCTTTATACAGCATACATGGGCACCACACAGCTATGCTGCTGGGACCTTACACCTAGGTTTGATAGCACATCTTTCTCATATAAAAATCTTTGTTTACCATAAATACCCCTTGCATTATAATGTCCAAAGTCATTCAAACAGTTAAAAAATTTCTCGATAATGTAATACTCCTTACAAAAACATTAACATAGTAACACATGTATCACACTTGAGTTTCAGAATATGACCCTATGCAGATATGTTGTACCCATGTGATGCCTTTACTGCACTGAGCAAGAATGCACTTTCATTACTTTATATTATTGCTCTCCTGCTTTACAAAAAGCTTGTCAGGAACAAAGACTGAACCACCATTCATATGCCAGATCTCCTTGGACTTTGGCACCTTCTCATAATAACAGATAATCATTTGAAGCAATAACAACACAACAGTAGTACCGTTTACTGTTAATTCACGTGTGGCGAAAGCTTTTGTGGCTGTTTGTTTTTTATTTATTTTTTTATAACCAATGTGCGTGTCCTCATTATGCACTGAGGTTTATACCAACAATCTACTCATCAGCTTAGGTCCTCATTGTTTTGAGCACCCTAATAAATACACTAACAACTTTTTATACCTACATTGTCACTAAAAGTACAGATCACAAGGATTGTTCACTATGTGCCTGGAAGTTTGTCTTTGCTATATGATGTTGGTGCAGGTCACTCGGTCTCTCTCCGTGTTTCATAATAGTACAAAATAGATCAGCTGTGGCGCCCAAGAGCATCAGCGCATGGGCGGGGGCCACCTGCTATTGGAACGAAGTGTCTTTATGAAAGGTGTCAGACTTGTGAAAGGAAGGGCGGTTGCGATTCAAGGGTGAGGGCTGGTCAAGCGAAAGGGCAAAGTTATTCTCACTCTTCGGTCTAGGTAGGTGACCTTTGGCCAGGGCTTGACCTATAGAACCAAGATCGAGGAGGTTATGGTGGTGATGCCGACGACTCTTAAGGCTGGATCTGTCGGCTGGCATCATGGACTCTTCCGAGCTGGTGCCGCCGTCGCCCTGCTCGGTCGCCGCCACGGAGGCCAGGGCGTTCACGATGGCGTTGACCGTCTTGCAGTCGTTGGTCAGGTCCTCTCGATTGCTCACGATCGACGGATTCTTCCCGATCTTGTTTAATCTGGGAGAATAAGAAAGTTGTGAAGAGCCGTTACTTAAGGACTGCTTGTACTTTACCACAAGATGTATAATGTAAACTTAGGTCCCGAAAGCAAGGTCGTTACTAACAGAACATATTTTCACAGTTACGCAGTAGCAATAAAAGCATACCTTTCAGCGGCTACACTCTCCATCGTCCGCCGCATGAGTGGATACGAGTCCAGGACAGTGTTGAAGTGCTCAACGCTGAGGCTGAAGAGGTTGCAGTAGGTCTCCGCCCGGACCGACGCCGTCCGCCGGGCGTTGGTCAGCAGACAGATCTCCCCGAAGTAAGAGCCATCGCTGAGAGAGGTCGCCACTTCGCCGTTGGACATGACAATATCAACAATACCTTCTTGTATAAAGTACATCTTGTTCCCAATGGTACCTTCCTTGATGATAATATCACCTGTATAATGGAAGAATGGTCGTTAGAGGTTGTCCCACTGCAGGCTTCGTTACAGCAAAAGCATAAGACCTAGAAATTACCTTAATCTTGTGGCTAGCATACTGATCAGTCATTCTTCATGGTCATGCCATAGGGTTGCTTTAAATAAAATATTTTGGGTCTGCTGGTTTAGAACAAAGTGATTTCAAAGGTCCCCTCTGTGCATGAAGCAATAAACATGACAAAAAATATGAATTGAGGAAAGTGAACTGCATGACTGAAGTAGAAGTGAAATAAAAATCAAAAGCTAAAGAACCATGCTCATCTTAAGAATATCTTGATACTCAACAAATTGTTTACTGAAATTCAGAAACTCGGTATAGGAAACTTATCGTAAGATATAGAGACAGTTTTCTGTTCAAAAAGGCACAACATGCAGAGGTCCATGCTTACGAAAACAGTCAGGACAGATGGAAGTTTAGGCGATCTACATGTTACAGCAGATCGAGGAGGTGAGAACCAAGGCAGTGGAATGACCAATGCCAATGCTAAATACGGGGCACAGGATCTACCATCCAGAAAGAAGTTGCTAACCAATCTTCCCCAAACAGTTAACAGAGCGTCTCAGTACCCAGTGCAAATAGGCAGACCTTTTTGTGGGTTTGCATTCTGCGTTTTCATTCATGGTTACTTTCTTGTTATTAAAAAAAATGCATATGATTCTGAGACACCTGTGTAAGAGGCAAGTAATTTCTTTTAGTCTAAAAGTGAAGAAAGAACATAAGGTAATTAATATTTACAAGGGTTAATTTCAGACAAATGATCACTCCTATACACACAGTTAATGTGATCAGACTGTTAGGTCCACTCTATGGCGGTGAAATATTACTGGGAGTTCTCTTCCGCACTATCTACAGCCGTAACAACACTCCATTGTCTAGGCCCTTCCTGGGCACAGGAGGTAGCCGCTGCCAGGTAGTGCCACAAGGAAAGGAAACACACTCAGTCAAGTACATACGAGCAGCCACACTGCAGCTTTTCTGCTGCTGTGCTAGCCGCGAGTCCGCAGGGAAGCCGGGGAGCACCTTCAGGTGGAGCAGGCAAACTGAGGGATTGGTGAGGCTACTGGTGACGTTAAGGCCCCCTGTGACTCGCGGCTGTGTGCCATCTTTTTCTACGTGATGCTACACTCGCTGCTCTCGGTGTGGCCCGCAGCCACTACTCTACCTGGTTGGTACACCTCGTATCTCAGCTTGGTAACCACGTCAGTCACAAAGCGTGCATCGGCATTGGCAAAAAATGGCACGGAAGCAACTAAGGCCCTGCAGTTGAAGTTTATCACGTCCTGGGAGGTGATTAAAAACTTCAGATTAGAATCCTACATAAATGACAGCTATGGACTAGGCTAGGCTAAAAATGAAGGCAAGTGAAAGTCCCGACCACACGTAAGGGACTGTGATGATAAAGTGGGTGGGGGTGAGGTCACCATGGAGGAGGCGGGCGCCCTCTCCCTCGACCCACCTCCCTGGGCGCCGCTCTGCTCTCCTGCCTCGTGTCCTGGCCAGGCAGGGGGGAGGGAGGGGGCGCCGCCTTTCAGAGAAACTTGCGTGTGGCTGAGATACGCTGCACCGAACAGTCTGGCCCACTCGGCAAGGCTGCAACTCTCGCTTCGGGAGCTTTGATCCAAAGGGGGAACACGCCTGCTCGGACTGCTCGTTTTGCGTGGTCTTCGAACGGATTTTTACCATGTATTTTTTGGAAAGTCTTGCGTCGTCTTACCAAAAGTGAATTGATCTTTCCGCAATTGAACAATTTTGCGTCGGCATTTTAGGGACTCTACCACAGTTATTAGATCTGACGACTAATTTATACGATGCTATTTTGACGCTGTTGCAAAGCCTGGCCACGCTTCATAGTCGCGCATTCGAAGTTGGCGAAAGGATACTTCCCTCTGTATCTCAATGAAGGCGTATCAAGAGTAACAGTGAGAAATAATCAATCCATTAAGTTGGAAAATGCCCCTGGCTACATGAACTATCATCATATCCATAAAGGAAACGAAGTGACCACGACTGAATACTCTGGAAAATGACAATGGTCGCGCGATAGTCCGTGGACCCGGCGCAAGGGCGAGCAGAGCGTGTCCCTCGCCCCTGAGTCCTTCCCCTCCCCTGAGACGCCCGCCACGCAGGCCAGACTGTGCAGGAGCTTCGACAGAGACGAGTGGTCGTGCTGCTGCCTAAGGGACACCAACCTGGCAAGAAGACCTCGTATTTAAGTTTTGTGACGACCTCTGAGACGAAGCAAGGTTCGGCATTGGCAAAAAAGGGTACGGACGCCACCAAAGATCGGCAGTTGTAATTGATAACATCCTGCAGGTTGTAACAGATAAGAAAGGGGGTCAGAGGCCGATGGGGTGATAATGAGGAGGATATCAACTTTTTGGACATATCTTGTGAAGCCATCATTACTTAGGATATGAGATTTGGGTTAACCAAAGGCCTGATAAGCATTAAACAAGTGTCCTCAACCTTGACATGAATTTTTGACATATTGCCATACAAAAATAGCTTTATCATAACCAAAAGCTCGTTTAGCTCTTCCAAAGAATTTTGAAATAATGTGCAAACTGGCGTGGTGATTCAAAAGAGAAAAAAACAAAACAAACAGCAGAGTTAGCAAATGGGGAGAAAATAATAAAATAATCTTATTTATTTAACTGCGGGGGAGATACAGAATGTGAGGGGCCATGTGGAGAGGAAGTGTTTCTGAAGTCAGTTGCCAAGAAAGCAGATAATTATGAGCAATATCTTGAGAAAAAAGTCTGAAACAAGGCAAAAGCAAAGTTATGATGGTCTAGAGAAGTATACAAGCTCTAGAATCAGAACTCTTAAATATACACACACACATATATATATAGAATATAAAGTTATGATCATGTGAAGGAGATCGTAGAGAATTTAAATAACAAATAGAATATCATAAATGAATGATGATAAATGAAAGAGAGTGTTAAACAGTGAATATAACCTAAAAAAGGAGAATTATGGACATGATCTATCTCTAACTCCATTATCACAAAATAAGTAACATCAAAATCAATCAACATGGTTTCAACGTAAACTTTAGTGTGAAAATGCATCTGTAAATCTAAGCCTTTCATCTACTAGACCTAACTTTATTGGTAGGGGAGAAAAGATGTGAAATCATCTGCTCAATATATATCAGATTATGATATAATCTGCACATATTGTGTACATAACTGTGTGCGTGTTGCAAAAAGTGTTTGTTTTAACTCAAGATATGCACACAAAACAGACATAAATTCATACACGAATTGCATACATATTGGATACGCGATTAGAAACATACTTATGGGATCTTATATAAACACACTCACAAACGGACATACACACACACACACACACACACACACACACACACACACACACACACACACACACACACACACACACACAGAACGATGCTCTTTTGGCGGAAAGTGGACGAGAAACCAGAGAGAGGACTTCGCACACCAAGAGAGCCCAGAGTTGCTGTCCAGACCTTCCCCGGGCAGCCATGCACAAGGGGTCGAGGGCCACTTCCTTGTTTTACGTTGCTCTTTGCTGTGGAGGGTTTTGTCTGGTTTACATTCGTGGGCATATGTATGTAAGCACGTACCAATGCACGCACATACGTTCAGTGACCCAAGCCGATACAAGATACAACCGCACACGTTCTACAACAAAATTGGTATGCTTATTCCAGGTTTATTTACGCCCAGGAAACAAGGCCCTTTCTCAGTCTTAGAAGAAGAAGCAGTTTTAGTTGAGTCTCACATAGGAAAGAACAAGCAGAGGTTTCTCCTCCGACTGCTGTTCTCCAAAGGCAACTCTCCAGAGAAGATGAGAGACAATTACTTACTTGAACGAATCCGGCCACTGCACTGTAGTCAAACACACATACAAACAAACATCTTAGACAAACACATACAATGACATACAGATATACATGAAAAGACAGGTATTCATATACACACCAAGGTCCTTGATACCTTTACACCCACATACAATAAACAGGCCTGTGCATCCACACACACACTCATTCAATCATACTCACACTCACACACATACACACATACACACACAAACACACACACAAACACACACATACACACACACACACACATACGCTCACATACACACGTACACACAAAACGAAATAAAGTCACAACAACACACACACACACACACACACACACACACACGACACACACACACACACACACACACACACACACACACTCACACTCACTCATTCACTCACTCACCCATTCACTCACACTCATACTCTCGATCACATACACACATCTACACACATACACATACACACAACACGAAGACAAAGTCACTAAACAACAGACAAACAAACGCACAAGCATGATAATGTAAACTGTGTTTTAGCTTAAAAAATGGATGTATGTGTTAACAATAATAAATAATCATACGACATGGAATACAGGAAAAGCTTGCCAAATGTGTTGTACAGAATCTGCTAGCTAAAGGTAAATATAGCATGTGGATAAACAAAATGCATGAGTGGAATGGGTGAGAAATGCATTAGGTAGAATATAATGGGTTGGAAATATGTGAAAATACAAAAAAAAGAAAGAAAATGAGTGAGAAATACTGGAAATACTTTATGTAGCATGTAAGGAGAGAAGAACACACGGTAATACACAAAATAAAACATAATGGATGAAAAACACATGAAAATGTACATACGAAAAAAGACATAAGAAACAACATTGAAAATATTTGGAAAATAAAACAATAAAAGACAGGAGAAACCACAAAAAAATAATTGGCATAGAACATAACTGGTGAAAAATACATCAACATAAATCAAATAAACACAACAGAAAAAGAAAGGACAATCATATTGAAAATGAAAAGACAAAAAGGAAAATGGTCTGGCTTAGCATTCCAGCAGAAGAGAGAGAGAGAGAGAGAGAGAGAGAGAGAGAGAGAGAGAGAGAGAGAGAGAGAGAGAGAGAGAGGAGAGAGAGAGAGAAGAGAGAGAAGAGAGAGAGGAGAGAGAGAGATGGAGAGGGAGATGGAGGAAGGGAGAGTAGGAGGAGGGGAGGGAGGGAGGAGAGAGAGGAGGGGAAGTAGGACGGAGGGAAGTAGGGAGGGAGAGGAGAGGGGGAGAGAGAGAGAGAGAGAGAGAGAGAGAGAGAGAGAGAGAGGAGAGAGTAGAGAGAGAGAGAGAGAGAGAAGAGAAGAGAGAGGAGAGAGAG